TGGGCTGTTGTAAGGTGTGGGTATACTGGAAACTTTCCATGTTGTACCCCTCAACCATTCCTAAGGACTCGGACCACCTCCAATGTTGGATCAAAGGTGGTGGGAACGTGGCTAGAGCTGAAAACGATTGCCATCTTCGATTAAGTCTATTTTCTTTTTGCCCTTCCAGTCTACCTCACTTGACCGCTTTTACTGCATGCAGCCCTGCTGTATTGCTTGATGGAATCCAATTAGAAGAAACTGAGGCAGACACAGTGTGGTTGTGGTTGTGTGCTTATCTTCAGGCCCCGGAAACATGTGACAAAGCAATAGGACAGGCAGAATTCAAGCTTCTGGTCGGGGTAGAGGCTTGGTGGGTCCTGCTGATCGCCCCCCAGAAATTGATTGAGTCTGTAAGGGATCAACTCCTCTACTCTTAAATAAAAAGAAACCTCTGCTTTGCACTTGCAAAATTATTTGTATCATAAAGGTCAGATCCTTTGGGAAAAATGGCTTAGATAATCAAAGGTCACCGAAAGTGACATACAGGAGAGGAATTTTTTCGTGTCTGTGCATATGGATTTTACAGGTCCTGTGTTGCTCTAAAGTTCTTATTGATGTTCTGAGCAAGAAATCTTCACTGACATGAGGGGTTGTATCAATGGTTCAGATTCTTTCTTGTGGTTCTATTCATCCATCCACACAGAACCCCAAATATGATAATACCTGGTGAACAAGAAATTCATAGGGTCTGAAAAATGAAAGTCTGTAAATCCTTTACTGAGGAGGGAATATTGCTTAATTCTGGTGTATGGTAGAGATAATCTTAGCTGAACCATGGTTATATATCAAAACCGAGAACTAAAACCAAACCAGAAAACGTTCTCAAGTGTTGGGGAGAAGAATGTCAGGTAAATCTTATTAGTCTGTTATGGGAAAAAAAATTAAGTGGGGTACGGTAGAGTCACACAGATGGAAGAATTAGAAAATAGGTGTAAGATAAGGAACTTGGGAAGAAAAAAAGCATAATACTAATTTCCAGCTCCAGGGTTTGGCATAGCATCCCTCCAGGAAACGGAGGGAACATGTAGGTATCTACAGGTTTCCCAAACAGCTAATTTTTCCCTGGAGAGAAGCAGGTGAGCTAATGAATGCACACCTGCATTAAAATAGAAAATTGCGGGCAGAAAGAGGGAGACGGAGAAGCAGGATAATTGTTTTTAAAAATTCAGCCTAAATCACACTCTGGCTTAGGGTATTTAGTATTTTTATCTTAGAGTATATAATGTTACTAATATCTCTTTTTGAAGAAATTGATTTGAAGCTAGACAGGGCTTTTAAAAGTTTGAAATTTTAGGATTTGATTTTTTTAGTTTACATTTTTATTTGAACTTTAAGATTTAAAATATATATATTAAACATATATATGTAGTCTATGTATTAAACAGGCATTATTGCCTATCAGAAAACATCTAATTGTTAATAACTTCAATCTAGTGAAAGCGCTGACCCAACTGAATCATAAATAAGACCACCATGATGTGTCAGTGGCAGAATTAATGCAAGACAAGTAAAGATTTAGGCAATTACTATCCTGGGATAGTCTTGAGACAAAATTGAAAACCGGATTTTTAAATTGGCAGCATTAACTTGATTGGATTATATTAAAGCCTTGCTATCTAAAATTAAGGCTCAAAAATTGAAATATTCATCATTTCATTGTGATTTTTCATAGAATAGAAATTATCATGCTCACTTACTGTGGTCTTTCTTTCTTTCTTTTTTATCCTACAGGAAACTGTGATTTCATCGTCTGAAGAAATTTCAAGAGTCTTCTGTTTCCTCTTTGGAGATTTTTTAAAAATTGGATTTTCTTCTTTAGGTAAGAAAATGTTTTCTATTTATCCATATGTTTAAAAGAAAATATTTCAGTTAGAGGAAAGAAATAGCAGATACTTAAATTTTGCTAAACTTAACTGATACAAACTTTATGAAGATGAGGAAAAGCAGGATTTTTAAGTTAAATAAAACAAATTAGATAGAAATATTTTTTAAAGATTTTTTGGTAAGATATGAGACAGATCTTTTTGCACTTTCTATAGACTAATATAATAGGATTTTCATGATCCATTTTTTTGAGTAGTTAAGACATATACAATTAAAATGAAAGTTAAACTTCTGATGCAAAGTTTTTAAAACAATACTTAGCAAACTCAGAAAAAAGGGATTTTTTTTGACATTTAAAATATTCAGAAACATAAATGTAAACCAGTATGATAATAAAAAGGAGATTCTTTTGCTAAATTTAAAAGACTAATCATTTCTTTAACAGCAGGCTATGAATTAAAGTTAATTAAGATTTGAGCTGTAACAGAGAAATTTAAACTATGGGCTATACTCACATGCTGGGAAATTATTGTTTTGTAGGGTCAGAATGTAAATAAAAATAATTTGTTTAATCAGGCAAGAACTTATACTTTGTGTGTGATCTCTTTTCAGTTTTTGGTAATTATGTTATGTTGGTAATATAAGACAAGACACACTAGCTTTTTGAATATAGCATAATGTTAACAACTCATTCTATTTTTGGCAACAATTCTTTCAGTGAAGTTTGCTTTCATGAGTAGTATAAGTTACATATATAGAAATCAGATATTTTAAAGAATAAAAACTAAAAATGCATTTTATATGTCTTGACAAGCATTTTAAGATGCTTTTAAATATAAATTAAAAGAATAAAAGAAATAGTTACAGAAATTGTACATAGATTTTTTTTTAAATATAGAAATTTGGACATTCTGACATTGTCACCAGTACCACATTTGGAAAAGGAAATAGATTGCCAAGCTCGTCTTCTATTGACAAGTATATAATTTCAAAGTACACAAGATTTCTCCTCATTTTAAATATATTAATAGTTACCTTTGGATATTTAAAAAAAATCTTAGTAAAGAATTTAAGTTCTTAAAAAATACACATTAAAATTCATCTGATAAAATGGAATCGAAAAGCTTTAGGAGAAAATACTAATGTTTTGGCATGAATTTGGAGAATTCATTTCTAGAATAAATTAGTTTTCTTCTTATGAAAGCATTTATATTAATATTAAGCATATCAGTTAAAACTTACTTAAATTATTTAGTTAGGGTATATCAAACTTCAAAATTAGAATTCCTTCTTAGCAGTCTAAGAATTATGTTAAGCTGAAAAAATTATGAAGCTATTTCCAACATTTTAATATAAAATATTTAATATATCAATTTTAAATCTTTTATTTTGATGGTAAAAATAAGAGAAAAACATACTAACCTGTTAATGGAAAATATAATTTCATAGTACTGAGAAGAGAATTGTAAGCATGTAATAAAAACAGTATATGAGATAGATTTCCTTTCTGACTTATTTTTACCCTTCCATATGAATCATATATTTTAAACCAAGAGAATAATATATAAAATATATACGTATTTCTATATTTTAATAACTATTAAAAATAGAGAGAAAAATGCAACTTTGCCTTCCCAGATGCTAACTAAAAGTGCTAAGTGAAAATTAGAAAAATACAGCAGCTAAAATAAGATAATGAACTAAAATTCCATATTTATATGGATATGTAATTGTTATATCTTGGGGTGAAGCATTTTTCTTAATTGTCTATGAAACTGTTTATGACAAATGAGAAAAAATGATGGGGGATTTTTCTCACTGTAGTTTACAAGATAAAAATTTTAACAGTAAGCTGTCTGTAACATTAAGGGACACACTTAAAATAGAATTTTGTAGAATTTTATTAGGGACATTATCTCCAATCATTCTTTGGGCTTTTGTTTTACTGTTGGTTTTCTGAGTTTTGTGATTTGGAGTTCATGATATATTTTGATTGCCCTTTCAAATGGCAAAATGTTTCTGTGGAAAAATCAGATATTGTGAACATTTTATGTTATATTTGGCTGCGGTTAAAACCGCATATACTTTAGGAAAACTGTAGTTATTTTAGTGCATACATCAAATACCAAACAATTGTTTTGTCTGTCAGTCAGTTGTATGTCAGGGTATGTTACAATTTTTGTATAAATTTTGGACATTGAACTTATATTGATGGTATCTGATATCTAAAAATGTTTGTTGATCTTTAGTGAAATTATGGGCAAAATATTTAAGAGAAATACATTTTAAATGCCTCATTTTTAATTAAAATGAGAAAGACTTTAAAAGAATTGACTCATGAATGAAATATGTAATTGTGCAGTTTTTTGAAAAAATAAACTCTCAATTTATCTTTTGACTGTTATTAAAATGTGTCTGCATTTGTTATTTGTCGGAATTTTGAAATCAGGAAGGAATAAAGTATCAATGTATGGTATTTTTGATTATCTCTATCGAGAGAGTCAAAGGGAAAGCAAAGTCTGTTATTGGTCAAACAGGATTTTCTCCTAAAAAAATTGAATTGGAAACTGAAAAAATATATTGCCCATAATTAAATGTTTTATTAGGACTTATTTAGAATCGCATGAATTTTTCAATTCAATATAATTCAAAGAATTTAACTTATAAAATAAGAGAGATGTCAAGTATTGTTGGGCTGTTACAGGATAGTCTTTTTTGATGATTCTCAGAACTTAGAAAACATTTAAATTAGTGGTGTTAAGAACAAGGCTTTCTGGGCTATAATAATTTAGAAAAATGTGGGAAAATTATAAAGGGGAAGGGGAAAATGAAATTAAACCTAAAAGTACCCCTTAAATGGTAAACATTTGATACTGTGAAGAGTTCTCTGGAGATTAACAACTAGTACTCTGTCAAGGATAATTTTTTATGTATCTGAAGTTGCTTGTGTGATAAGGCAAGGAGGCGAGATATCGTAACTATAACTGTTTGACAAAACGTCCTAAGTTAGTTTCGGATAGTGCGGGTGAAAGTAAATGCAACAGTTTGGCTTTAGGAGTAGGAAGAGTGCAGGGCTCGCCACGACAGGGTTAACTGTGGCACCGCCCGGTGGACGCTGGGAGTTGTAGGCCGCGGGAATTGTGGGAGTTGTCGTAAAAAGTCCGCTTTCTGGCCGTGATGGCCGCCGTGGAGGCATGGAGTTATGGGTTTCTGCTTTTTGGGGAGTCTTGGGGGCTGTCTGTGGTGTCAGAGGGCCACCAAAGCCCCCAGGCTGTCGAGGCCCTGTAAATTGTGTCCCAGGGAGATGGGCGAGCGGCTTGAGAGGTTAATATTGAAACCAGCTGTCGGTCCATCGAGCAGGGGGCCTGTGGCGTCTGTGGGCTCGGTGAGGGGTCTTAGCCGGCTGGACCCTGGCGGCCTGGCTGGCCGCCTTTGCAGTATCGGGGTGGCCAATACCCGGGTTTGTGTGTGTGTGTGTGTGTGTACTTTGTGTTGATGTGACTTGTGTCCTGTGCTTAGAGCATCTGGTTTTGTCAGTAGTTGGTGCTCACGACCCATTGGGTTCCTTTTCTTGGGTTTAGTGGAACTTAATTAGAGCTGTACACCGTGTCCTGGGTGTTATGTGTGTGTTTTGGAGTGTTTGCATGAGTTATAAGTGTGTCTGAAGGTGTGGTTGGCTTTCTTTTGCATGTGGCGAACTTTGCTCTAGTTTGCTAATTGTGGGAGGCAGTGTCAAGCAGTTCCCGTTTGTGAAATCCTTTTCTGTTAATTTGAGTGAGTTCTTATACTTTTTGGAGCTTCTGGAGGAGTGTTTGGTAGTGGTTTTTTAGAAATATACATGTGCAAAACTGTATGTAAAATGTCAGAATCACAGGTATCTTTAGTTTTAGGTAGCAAACCCATTTGCTTCCCTGATGCTATGAAACTTGCTTTTTTATTTTTATGGAAATCACGTTTGCTGTTTACCTTTGTTACCTTACTCTTGGCTTATAGGGTTCCTCTGTGTATTGGACTCTTTGAATGGTGTTGGGTACCCTTTGCATATTTGAGGCAAAATGTGACATGTAATTGCATATATCAGATTCTCAGGGTACCAGCAAATTACTGGGTATGTCAGTACCTGTCTTAACTGTGTTACTTGTTCATACACATTTGGTCTCAGTGTTTCTGAGACTATGTACTGTTCCATAAATTCTCCCCGTATTTTTATGATCTTGAGTGTTGTCTGTGTAACTTTAGGCATAACTGGTAATAAAAAGTCATTTTTCAGACATTATTGTAAGCTTTTTTCACCCCTGAAAATAGAGCTGGTGTTAGAAAAGTTTTACCCTCAAGTTTGATGAAATAAGGGATGTGAATTAAGGTCCAATACAGGGTTTGATACTCAGCCATCAGTTTTAATAGGCAACCGCATAACACAATGGTTTATAGGAAAAGTGGGAAAATACTGTATTTTTTTTTTTTTTGGTACTTTAGAGGATATAGAACTTTCATTCTCATTATGTTAGACTGCTTTCATATATTATTAAAAAGCTCTTTGATGTGTATAATGAGTGAGGTTTTCATAGATGTTATCTTTGGGTTTGCTTAGGACTTGAGAATGTAATTGTGGTAGAGAAAAGAACAAAGCTGTTAGATTTGTACATGTGATTCTGCTGAAAGTTTTGGCTTCAGGTCGATAATCTGATATTGATTGGCTTGTTAGCTCTCAGGAATGCATTTTCTTTCCTTTGGCCTACATTACAATATGAAGATCATATCAGATTGCCAAACAGGCTAGCACCTGGCCTAGCCTGTCTACACAACTTCAGTTGCAGTTTTTCTGCCAGTGTGTGCTGTTGCATCAGTCCTGCCTTACTTCTATGCTCGAGATCTTGTCTGCATAACTTGAAGGATAACTCATGAAAACTCTAATTCATCTTAAAATATTAACTCATTTGCCAGTTTAAAAAGATTGATAAGTTTATTATGAAGACTCCATTCTACTCATTTTTGTTATTTTTTGGTGATGTGGCAAAATGCCATTCTAGTGAACTTTTTTTTTTTAATCTTAGGAGGGCTGAATGTCTATATTTGTAGATTGTAGAATCATTCACAATCAGCCACAACCAGTGTTCATTTAGTTGGAAAGAAGCTGCATACATCTTTCATTTCCAAGTGATTTCTCACTTGAGTTAATTAAAACAAACAGCTTATTAAAGTGTCCTGGAGCTGTTTTGAGACAAGAAGGGTACCTTGGTAAGTTTAGAGATAAACTGGTCTTTGCATTTGCACCTATGTGGACATTTATGTAAGTAGACACATTTCTCTGCCATGCAATGACGCTTTGCACCCAAGAATTCCATTATTTAATGTCTGAGACCTGTTTGGTACTCTGCTTTCTACTTCTATCTTTAGTTCTGTTACTGAAGTGAAATTTTTTTTGTAATAAACGAAGACAACAGGAGTTGTTTGAGGAAAAAAAAATATAATGTGGTCCGTTTGTTTTCTGGAGAACATGATTCCTAAGATTATATATACGTATTTGATAGATGTGCCAAAAACACATCAAAGTTTCTCTTTGAAACTTATGTTGTGCGTAACATAATTCTATCTCACTGAAATACTTTTCAGTGCGATAGAACACTAAAGGATAATTTTCTTAATCAAGGCATAACAGTTTTATGGTTCTAGTATTTGAAAGTTTTGGTCTTAATGTTTATTCTAATAAAGAATTGCAAACTTACTTCCAAATAGGATTTGGAAGATGCTAAAAAAGTGGTTTTACTTTTAGACTATAGCCAAAATACAGAGACACTAAAGAGGGATTCCAGTAGAAATGTTTGTAGCCTTTACTCAGATCCTTTCTAATCTCTTGTTTTCTTGTACGTAACTAGTCCCATCCTTGAGAGTAAACAGCTCTTATTCCTGTATTTCTGCATCTGTGAGCATTTGTGAATGGTAAAACTGTATTGGTCAGCTTTCCTCTTGCTGATACAAAATACCTGATAACTACAATTTAAAGGAGGAGAGGTTTGTTTTGGCTTGGGATTTCAGAAGATTTGCTCTGTGGCTGACTGGTTCCAAGGCAGAAGGATCATGGTGGATCGAACTGCTTTGTTCATGTGGCTAGGAAGCAGCAGAAGGAAATAGCACCAGCAAGAAAAGGGGCAGGAACCAGATACAGACCTCAAGATCACACCTTCACGACCCAGACACAGTTAGAAATGTGCTTTGGTATTTTCTAGGCAACTCCAAAGCCAGTCAAATTGACAGTTAATTTAATGTTCATAACTGCATAACAGGACACCACATTACCCATTTAGAATGTTTTGTTTTTGTTTTGGAGACAGGTCTCACTAAGTAATTCGGGCTGGCCTTGAATTCATAGCTATCCTCTCACCTCATCCTCCCAAAGTGCTGGGATTTGTACAGGTATGCAGTGCCATGTGCAACCCCATTTAGAATCTTATCTTTATTTTTCACTTACATTATTTGAAGAGGAACAATTGTTTATTGTAATTTGTACATTCACGCGTGGTTTTTTTACTTTTGGTATTATACTACATTACTTTTATCTCCAATCCTCCACCTTCCCAAAAAATAATAAGGTTTCTAGCAGAAAAGGATAAGGTGTTTTTAAATTTCTATACCTTTCAATGATGATTCTTATTTCTTGATTCAACCTACATGCATTTCCAGGACAATACATTATTGCTGATCTCCTGAGCCCTATTTTTTAAAGCCATATTATTTATTATATAATTTGTATGGGCAGGACAAAGGATCTATTTCAAAATACTAAGTGCAGACTCAAAGCTATTAATTAATTTATATTGGAAGAAAGTGGGATCATATGCATATGATAGCAGAGAGTCTATATTTTAACACTTCAAAATCTACTGGGGACCTAGCCAAGATCCTCAGTCTCCCAACCAGTATACAGCAAAAGCTTAAATAAATGAGACAAGTGGTATGAGTCTAGGGCTCCAGAAGGCTCAAAACCCTCTAGCAGAGTTTGAGACTCTGGGGGCTGAGACAAGAAGTGTCTCAGGGTGCCCGTATTTATTTAGTTTTCAAACAAGGAAAGGGTTAGAGTGGAAAACATAGGACCTTACGAGTGGTTCGAGGACTTTTCCAAGTAGCAGACTATGTTAATTTAGGAGAACTATTTTAGGAGAAAGTCTCCAGGTTGACTCACTACAGGAGTAAAATGTGTGCAGCTACAGTCTCGTACCTTGTTAATTGGGGTTGGAGCCAGGTGTCCTCAGCTTTGGCCTTATCTTGCCCTTTGGTTTGGCTCTTTGTTCTTGGGTCAGCTGTACCTGGCCATGCCCGCCCTGAACATTGTGTTCAGTTTCCAGCATTAACGGCTCCCCACAAAAGTCTTGAAAGCATTTTGTCTTCTGCCTTATTTTTGTTTTTGTTATTCAACATTTTCCCTTACTGTATTTGTGTGGTTCTAGAATTTATACATTTTTATTTCTGCTAGAAAAGATTTCACATTGTTTCAGTTTTTGAAAATGATTTTCATTGATCAAGTGGTTCTCCCCTTTTTATAAATTTTTTTTTTTATTTTAAAATAGGGTTTCACTGAGTTGACCAGGTTGGACTCTTGAACTCTTACTGTCTAAGCCTTCTGATGGCTGGAATTACAGGCATGTGCCACTACATTTGACTGCATATAACTTTCCTGAATTTCACCACAAACTGGCAGAATGTGGCCTAAAAATTTGACTATGATTTACTTTTCTGTTATTGACAGGGTTTCATTAGTGAAAAAGATACATGATTTGTCCTTTTCCAAAGGAATGTGAAAAGCATTTCTTGCTTTTCAGACATAGTTATAAAATATACTGTGAAAACTTTATTATGATAATGTAAGAAGTCCTCTAATGCACATAAAAGAATAGGAGAAAACTGTGTTGACTAATCTAGAAAATATTTGCAAGCCATTTTTACAGTTTTTTGTTTTTCTTTTTTCTTTTTTTTAAACTAAGTCTGTTTTTCACCAGAAAGTGGTGGCACATTCCTATAATCCTAGTACTTGGGAGGCTGAGGCAAGAGGAGTACAGTGAATTCAAGGCCAACCTGAGCTACATAGTGAGACTCTGTCTCAAAAATTTAAAAATAAAACATGAGATTTTTTTTTCTTTTTGTAGAGAGAACCACATATTTTCAATAAAGTTGTATTAAAAGAGTGGCCAATTTAATCCTTCTGGTACTGACCAAAAATACAGAGTAGGTACTGTTTAGAGAGGGCAAAGAGTACCCATTGCACGAGGAGTCCGCTGCACCATCTGTTGTACTATGGAGCCTCCTGTGCCTATTGTACCAGTGAGTTAAGATGAAGATAAGCTGGGAATGTGGTTCAGTGTTAGTAAATTAACATGAAACTGACTTCTGTTATGTTCTTCTATTTGAGGAGAAAGTATTCTAAAACTTAAAATATGAAAATACATAGAAATATAGGTATGTGATACAGTTTTTATAAATCACAAGAAAAAGATGGACAGGCACAGTGAATGTTTGTGCTATTTATAAAAGTAAAAAATTAAAATGACAATAAATAATATATTTTCCAAATATGGTTAAAGCATCTTCCCCTAGCTCAATATGCCTTTCTGCAATGTGACGTCACTCTATGATCAAAAGATGAAGTCACAGGCTGGGTTTTTAGTTCAGTGGTAGAGCATGCACAGAACATTCTCTAGGCTCTGGATTCTATCCACAGTACCAAATATAAGATAGGTAGATAGGTGACTCTGCTTCTTTGAATCTGTTATAACCAAAGGAATGTGATGATGTGTATGGCTGTTCACTGGGATGTCGACTTGATTGGGTTAAGCCTTGACTGGTTGTGTCTGGGTAGGTCACTGGAGGGGTGACATTGAGTACTATATGTGGACCCTGGCCTGTTCCTCTCTGGCACTGATCCCCTGCTCTGCTTTTCAACCACTATGAGGTGAAATACTTTCCTTTGCCAAGCTCCTCTGTTGTGATGTTCCTGCCACGGAGAAGGCTGACCATGAACTGAATCCTCTGAAACCAAGAGCTAAAGTAAACCTCTCCTTCAGGTTGTGGGTATCAGGTATTATGTCAGGTATGATGAAAAGCTGACTATATAGTGTGCCAGTTCTGGGTCTTGCCCTTAACTGGCCTCACAACTTCTGCTTTTTCCTCTGGAAGGCAATCACGATGTAAGAAATGCAGTTACTTTGAAATCATGATGTTGAAAGAAACCAAAGTCAGATGAAGATGCTCTGGAGGATGAGAAGACATTTAAGTGGGAAGTAGATGGATAAGTAACTTGGGAAATGAGTGTTTCTGCCCCAGCTGCCTTAGTTGTTGTTGTAAGTCATATAAGCCATCCAGAAACCCTTCCCAGTATCTGGTCCATAAAATTGAGAGCAAAATAAAGTGTTTTTTGTAAACTTCTGAGGTTTGGGGTGATTTGTTATGTAAGTAACTAAAACAAATACTGGGGGAAATGTTCATATATTAAATATTAGTAAGAGAGAACATATTTGCATGTCTGTGTCTAAATTTGACCAGTAACTAGCAATTTAACTTGATCACACAGCATGCACACACACACACAATAGAAAAGTTTGCCGAGGTAATAAACACTTTTTAGAGGAGTAAATTTTACAAGCTAATAACATAAAAAGACAATGTTCAAACTTAGTGGTAATCAGAAGAAAGAATTCAGATTAAAACAATAACAAAACTCAATACACTAACAAAAATTAGAAAGGTGGATGATACCAAGTAGTGGGGTCAAAGAGATAGGAACCTTTTGTACATTACTGGTGAGAGTATAAAGTGGTAGAACCATTCTGGAGGACAATATTAGTTAAAAGGATATAGAAATCAAATTTTCCTGGATAAGTGACCTCTGGAAATCTTAAGTTTATAAAGAAATATGCAAATGACACATTTTTGATGGCAGAGGCTTGGATCCAACTTAGTATCCATCATGGGAAATCAAGTAAAATCTGGTGTGCACATGTAGAATATAGAAGCAAAGAATTGTGTATGTCCACAACACAAGACATTTTAAAATTAGTGTTTAATAAAAACAAATAGAACCTTTAACTCAATACTATGGGTATAAATTTAAAACATACAAAGATGTTTTGCAAAGAAATGATCAAGCAGTGTGTTGAACACCTTGGAATGGTTACAAGGGTTCATAGAGAATAGCAGTGGAGAATGAGAGAAACGACCACAAGATGACAGTGTGCTGTATTACGAGTGTGCTGTAAATCAAAAAAATACAGTTGACCAAATTCTGTGCTGGAGGTCCAACAATATTTCTTTTCCAAGAAGAGAAGATTATTTCTCAAGTAAATTGGAAGAACAGAACTATCTTTTAAGTCTGCCACACTTAAGAATAAGTATTTTAGAGGTTTATAGAGACTTCCAGGAAGATGTGGAGTGGTAAGCAGCAGAGAAAACAGCCTCTCTGAGAGTGACCATACAGATGCTGGAATACAGCATCGTGAGGAAGACAAGAAGGAAAGAAGTGGGTTCCCTGGACCCAGGAACAATCTGAGGTGCAAACTGAAGCCCGCAGAGAGTAAAAGGAAAAACTTCCCACCAAGTATGTGGAGGTAGCTGTTGGTGCCTTCTCCTGATCTGGACTCACTATGCAAGAGGAGCTATTGGGACCTGGGGACACATGGTCACGATGACAGTGATGGCTGATGACCCCAGAGGCCTCTGCAGAAATACACGGTGGTGGAGGAAAGAGGCAAACCTGGAGGACTGCACTGGCTGGCTGTTAGTGGAAAGGATTCAGTCCTGCGGGAGAGAGCGATTAGCTGGGAGCCATTTTGGGGGTGAACCATAGAATCCTGGAACCAGAACTGCTGCTGACTTTCTCTAGGAGATCCTAGTTGGGTGCAGACCCGTGGAAATTACCTGGATTGTGATGAGCTCAATGAGTCTGGTCTCAGGACAGGCCCAATAAGTTCATCTACTGCTCCACTGTAAAGCACCTGCTGCCTTGCTGGGATAGAGCAGCACGATTCGGGACTCTCTCCACAGGCTGTCTACTAGTTAACCCAGCGGGAATCCTGGAAGTGAACTATTTGTTTTTTGTTTTGTTTGTTGATGGGTTTTTTTGTTTTTCTTTTCTCTTTCTTCTTCATTGTTTATATATGAATGTGAAAGTGGTTCCATTCTGGTCTTCCTTTTATCTCTTCCATCTCTTTTCCTTCAATCTTCTGCACCAGTTTCCCCAAGTTGGCATGAGCCTCCTTTATCCTCCAACCTTATTTCTAATCTTTTTTCCACTAATCTAATCTTTTTTCTTCCACTTCTCTATTTTTTCCTAAATCCATTTTAAATTTTAATCCTGGGGGAAATTTTTACATATTACAGATTTATATATTGCATATAATTATCTGGTTTGTTTTACATTTTGTTATATAATCACAAATCTAGTTCATACGGTTAAAAGTTGCAAATTATGGGTTAGCTCAGTTTGTTTTATAGGCTGTATTTCATGCTATTAGTACTACTATAGCCAAAATTGACATAATTGTTCTAAATAGCTGTTGGCCCTGATAATCCAGAACTGAGATTAACTAAAGGTCACAGAAAATACTGTGGCACAGTGCCCAAGAACCAGGCATTAGGCCAAATGAGCAACAGCTCATTTCCAACAAACCCAAGAGGTAAGATGTTTAACAGACTCAAAACTCAAAAACCAGCTATACCTGGAAGCTACCTCAGAGATGCAATCATCACCTAAGTGTCCTAAGTACCACCAATAAAGCAATTTATAAGCATCACCTCAGAAGTTAAATTTAAAAGAAAAGAAATGAGAAGACACTTTAACAAGATGTAACTCCAGACATCCAGTTCACCAAAGATAAACCTAGGAGGCAATGACATTGGATAATCCGAAAGCTTCCACCAGGTCTCTCTGAAGTGGAAACAACAAAGCAATTGAATGAAGCTCTGGAAAAAATGAAATCAGAAATAGTCTGTCAAATAACTACAGAGATTACCAAAATACACACCATGCTTAGGGATGTTAGAGCAGATACAGAGAAAAACATTTTAAATGACATCATTATAAAAGTGTAGTCAAACCATCCCATCATTTGTTGGATATGTAAAATGGTATGACTTTATAGAAGACAGTATCAGATTCCTTAAAAATACTCATGTCCCAGCAACAATTCTAAATTGAAATTAAGAAACCAAAACCGTTTGAATGGACATCAGTAAATATAAAACACCAAGGATACATCTAAGCAGTCATGTGCATGACCTGTACCCTGAAACTATAAACCTGCTGCAAAAACTAAATACCCAAACAATGAGATCTGTATCATTTTCATGGATTGAAAGTGTCAATACTGTTAAGATTACAAATTATATTGACTCAATGTGATCCAAATGAAAATACCACTTGATTCTAAAATTTGTATGGAAATGAAAAAGATCCAATGTACAAAGAGAACAAAATTGGAGCAGTGGACTACCTGGGTATAAGACTTAAAACATAAGCAGTTAAGCCAAATGGTTCATATTTGTAATCCCAGCACTCAGGACATGTATGCAAGAGGATCGCCATGAACTTAGGCTGGCCTGGACTTCATAGTGAGTTTAAGGCATATGGAACTACCTGGTAAAATCCTGTCTGAAAGAAAGGAAGGAAGGAAAGAAAGAAGGAAGGAAAAGGCAAAAAAAAAAAAAAAAAATTCAGTGTGATTTTTACATCATGATAAATACATAATTTAAAAGGGCACAATAAAATAGAGATGTTCAAATGTATCATCAAGGGATTTTTAGTAAAATATCAAGATAAGTCATAGAATATCTTCAACAACTGATGCTAGAACAGTTGGATATCCATATATGAAGAAATATCTTTTCCTTTGTCTTATCCCACACATAGGCCAACTTTAACTCAAAATGAGTCCTAAACCTAAACATAAGAGCTAAAACTGAAAACTAAAGGGGCTGGGGATTTAGCTGAGCAGAATAAGCACCTGCCTTGCAAGCAGGCAGTCGTGAGTTTGATCCCCAGTACCGATTAAAAAAAAAAAAAAGCAAAAACTCCAAAGTAAAATAAAAATCTTGAAGAAAGCAAGGAGAATCTAATCTTAGGTAACACAAAGATGTCTCATGTAAGATACAAAATGCAGGAACCATAAAATAATAATAAATTTAACATGATTAAAAACTTCTAATCAAGATAGCACTATTAAGCATTAGAACTGGGGCTGTGGCCCGGTGGGACAGTATTTGTCTTCCATGACCAAAGCCCTGGATTGGATTCTTTTTATTTTTTTTTTAATTGGTACCGGGGGTTGAACTCACAACCACATGCTTGCAAGGCAGGTGCTTATGCCGCTGAGCTAAATCCCCAGCCCCCCTAGGTTGGATTCTTGAGCACTGTCAGAAAGAAAGAAGAAGGCTTAGGAACAAACTAGGGGAAAACAATAATTGCAAGATATCTGATGAAGAATATTCCTCTGGGAGAATTAACTCTTACAACGCAATGATTAAAAAATAAATATAGGGGCTGGGGATTTAGCTCAGCGGCATAAGCGCCTGCCTTGCAAGTGTGTGGTCTTGAGTTCGATCCCTGGTACGAAAAAGACAAAAAAAAAAAAAAAAGAATCAAAAAATAAATATAAAACAATCTATTAAAAGAGTGAGTTAGCTAAGTGTGGTGGCACATGTCTGTAAACCCAGCACTTAAAAGGCTGTAAGAGGATCATTGCAAGTATGAGGCCAGCTTGAGTTAAATAGTGACACCCTGTCACAAAAAACAAAAAAGGGGAAAAAAGAAAAAAAATAGAAAGCAAATGCTTTGTTAGATTGGCCTCTTTCCTTGATAAGCCTCCAAAGCAGACTGTGTTCACGATTTGAACAGACACCCCATGAACTAACTTCAGATAAGCACATAGAAAGACGCTTATTTTGATTTAACTTTTTACAATAAAAATAATGCTAGTTAAATGCTAAATAATACTTCTAACTGGAAAAAATAAATAATATTCATGAAAGCTAGATTGACATACCGGTACATATCAACTAGATGAAAAGAATAATCATACCAAGCAGTGGTGTAAATGTGGACCAATAAGAATTAAAAGGTACAGCCACTTTGGAAAACAGTTTAATTTCTCATAAAATCAAGTATAGCTTATAACGCATTATTCTGCTTCTCAGGGTTACTTATAGAAGGGGGAAAAAGCTTTTTTTTTTTTCACACAGAGTTGTTTATGAATGTCCTTATCCTTTATTTATAATAGTAAAAATATTGGAAAGAACCCAAATATCTGTTAACAGAAGAACTGATAACCAATCAAAAACTGCTCAATAACAAGGAATAGAATACCAACCTATATGACCACTGATTCATCTCAAAGGTATTGTGGTCAGTGAAAAGTCAGACACAACTACATGTT